GGGGGGGGGGGGACGCGGGGGCGGGCGGGGGAGGGGGTGCCGCGGCAGTAGAGGGCGACACGAACGACGACGACGACCAGAAAGCGGACCTTTTTAAGATCAAGCACTCCGATTCGCTCGGGGAGGATGACAACTGCGTCGTCTGCCTGTCGGGTGAGAGCGCCGTTGGTGTCGTCTTTACCGTCGTCGTCTTTACCGTCGGTGTTGTGTTTACCGTTGGTGTTTTGTTACCGTTGTTGTTGTTTTATTTGTCTATTGGGGCTGTCGGTTGGTGGTGGTGGTGGTGGTCTCGTGATGTTGTATGTTGGGTTGTGGTGATGATTGACTCCGCTCGAACACCTGTCCTTAGCTGGAGAGACCTGAGGTTTCCTTGAAAACCTGACCTTCAACCTGCACACACTCGATTCCTACAGGTCGTAGCGATGTACTCCTAGTCGTGTTCGTGTAGCGTTGTCTTCCACGCTCTCTCGCAGCTACGTTCTCTCCGCCAGGCGCACTGCTGTGTGTGCATGGAGAGGAAAAACAGCTTCCATGTCCCGCAGAATAATAACGTGGTGTCCAGGGAACGGAATTTGCTTGGATTGTAGAAACGGTTTCATGCCGTTATTTTGTTCATTCAAAGATATCTGGAGGGTGATGTCTAGCAGTTATTGCTGAGCATTTGCCGTCGGTAACAAGACATGCAAGCGATACGGGGAATCGGCGTGGGGATGCAGAAAACTGCCATTGTCGTTCTTCCATCTTCTGTGGTCATGATGTCATGATGTCACCATGTGATGGTACGACGTGAACCGCTGCTGCCTCTGCCTCCCACAGCGCGACATCGCTCGGTACTGCTGCATATGCTTGGCCACAGATGGTGGAGAGCTACACTCGGGCACAAGCATACATCCTACTTCTTGTCACAGATGTCGAGGCTAATCTAGCACAGATTATTTGTACTATTCTTGATTGTACAGTAGCATGATGTGGTACTTTTTCCTTTTTTCGCTTTTGTGTTTGTTTTTCTTACAAAAAATATTTTCTTCTACGCTTGCTTCTTTTTTTTTTTTTTTTGTCAGGCCCGCGAACGGCGACGATCGTTCACGGAGAGATCGGGCACATCGCGTGTTGCCTGGAATGCGCCAGAATACTCAAGGTTCGTCGAGTCGCTCGCTCTAGCTGTTGTCAAGGCTGCTGCTGCTGCTGCTGCTGCTTTTGTATGCCGTGGAATCGTTGCTCTTCGGGTTGTTGGGTGTGTTGACAGTACATGCTGTTTGCCCAGGAATCCGTGAGACGTTGTTTCTTCTTGCGCAAATGTTGTGTACATTGTAGTTTACCGTTTTGTGGCCGGCATGTGACTACTTGTACTCTTTTAGCGGTTAGATTCGTGAGGAAGAGAAATCGCGGACAGAGCTCATATTGGATTCCAACGTTAAATGACCACAGCAGCAGCAGCATTACCTCTGAACGTCTGTTTTGTCTCGCCATTTCGTGGCACATGTTGCGAATAATCCATCCTCCAACCCCGTTTTTGTTTGTGCTGAAATCGATTGTCTTCAACGTCCCACGCGCCCTGTTGGGGTTCTCATCATGTTTCACACACCGTGCATGCCCATGCATGTGCCGCTCTCCTCTTCTTTTCTTTTTTTTGGCAGGCACGAGGGGATGCCTGCCCGGTGTGCCGTGCCCCCATCGACAGCGTCGTGCAGCACTTCTGGGCATGAACCGAAAACACAACAAATGGAGAAGGCATTCCTCGTTTTCGGCATGTAGTACAAGAGTTGAATCAGAAAAAACCCCAGCAGGAACTGCGACATGTATATGTTCTGTGCTGTCTGGGGAGGGAGGTTATATGCTGCTGCGACTGACTGCCCTTTTGGGGGGGGAGTCGTGGAACCAATGCACACGATTTTATTGAATTGCAAGAGGAGACGGGACACGCCCCCTGGAATAGTCTAGTCTCCTCAGCGAGAGAAAAAACAAGAAAGAGAAGGAAGTTGCACGGAAAGAGAAGAGGGGCAAGCGTAAGGCGGGGTCAACAAGTAGGGTCGACTTGGGGGCGAGAATGGCGTCCTGCGGCAGTGGACCTGGAGCGGGCCGACATCAGGAGCACAACTAACTAAGCCGCTCCGTTAGAAAGATTGTGCTAATGGAAACGCATGCCGCAGTCGTTAGAAAGATTGTGCCTCTCTCATGGTCCTCTTTTTTTGGGAGCTGATGACTTACTAATGATGCGTGTCATTTGCATGAACCAGTGTGGTCTTACGTCTACGTTGGCTGTCTTGATCCCTTGCTCTGTTTTTTTTTTTATATACTGGTATGTTTGTTTTGACGAGTTGTCCTGCGCGACCTTGTGTAGGCTTGAGCTGCGATTGGAGGGGTCCGACAGAAACTGTTCAAGACTGGCGATGGCGTTGTTGCTCTCTCTCTCTCTCTCTGTTGAGTAAAAAAGAAAGCCGCGGCGCCGAAGCTTTGTAAAAAATAAACAATAAACATGTGGCCGACATACGTACTGGCCCGCGTCCGTAAACATGGAGCGGACGTGTTCGTGTGATTTGCTGCACTTCAGTCGTAGATGTTGGCCTCACCAGGTGTTGATGTTTATAGACTCGATGATGATTGTGGCATGCGGAGAGAGAGAAGGGTTTTGACAGGTGATGCAGGCATGCCGAGTCCCTGGGGTCTCCCTTACCCCCACCCATCCCTTACGGGGTTGGTTTGTTTTCGCTTTGTTTGTTTTTTTCGTTTTTCGGTGCATGCGACTGGACGTTCTCGCCCCACATCAACCAACGGGGGATGGTGGATCGATCTCGGGAATGTGGTGGGTGAGGTGTGGTAGTTGCTGTGGGGCTGGTGCCCCCGATTTTGTCGTTTTGTGTTTTATCGAATCGCGAACCCTTTCCAAGCGCGATTTGAGTGGTCTGCCGTCCGAGACACGATGTTTTTTGTTTTATTATAGGGTGTTTTTCTCGCAGAAACGCTAGTGGTAGTAAAAGTAGTGTCCAAGCCGGACTCCGGTTTTCGTATGCAGTAATATTGGTTGGGGACAAGCGGGACGAATGTGGCACACAAAAGGAAGGAAGCTGAACGTGATGGCGCGTAGTGGATGGCGGTGTTGAGCGCTTTGTTAAGCCGGAAAGCTTGCAGGCCGCGCGATTTGAACGGTTGGACATGGGTTCCGTGCTTTTGCATTTCGGCGGCCAGGGCCTTCTCTCTCGTCTAGGCCAGTTGCTAGAGTGCCACCCCCGCCCGATAGATACAGTAGGCACTGTTCTCAGTCAGTTGTTGTTGGATGGACGGCGGAATCGGAAAATGGTAACAAGCAGTCGTTTAATGTTGATGGCGTGACGGTCTCTCTCTCTCTCGTGTCCGTCCGTGTGGTAGAAAGAGAGATCGAGCTGCTCGTGTTGAACACTGGAATCTGTTGTTGTGTGTACTGTATGCATACAAGGGGAGCGAGATATTTGGAAGTTCCTTGATTGCAACTATTATTCCAGTATTCTACAACCATGGAGCAATCGTTATCATGAGCTAATTGTCCTCAATAGTCAACCACAATAACTGCTGATGGTTCACGCTGTTTGTTTGGTGTATCAGCGGGGGTCATGGAGAAGGCTAAATCCCTCTGTGTCTGCTGGCCCATGCAATCAACGCCTCCAATTGCAGTCGCGGTCTGCTCGCGTGATGTTTGTACGTGGTTAAATGACGTGCTTCATGTTTGAACGGGTTAAACGGTAAACCGCCTTGAAAGTGGCACGGTTTTTGGCTGTGCTTTCCGCGGTCCCCCCAAGCATTTTGGCATTCCTCTTGCCCGCCCGCGTATCGTCAATCGAGCTTGATACGCAGTGAGTGAGCGTGGTACTATCGTTGCTAAAAGCCGCGTTCCTTTCCATTTCCGAACTTCCTTTCTTGGTTTTTCCATTTCCGCATCCCCTTGCCTGGCTGCCGCCCAAAAAGCAAAAGAGCAACACCCTCAACATACAAAACAAGACTGTTGCAGAAGATGTCATCCGAGGACACGTTCCACCACTACTTTTGTGTGACCCCGGACGGTGCGTCTAGTGTAAGTGCACATGCGCGGCAAACGTGTAGTGTGCACCGAAGAGGAGTAAGCAGGCGGCGCCAGAGATGGGACGAAAAAAAAAAAAAAGTACTTCGCTGTGCCGTAACATGAAGCCGCACATCCTTGCGGTAAAAGTCCTACGGGAAAGCCGTTCGTTGCCGAGGCTTGCCCTCTCTCACGGAGAACAAATCATCCGGTAAGGGTAACTGCTGCATGGAACAGCGGTTACGACGACGGAGGGTCAAGAGCAACCGACCTTTTTCTCGACAGACAGGCGGATTGTGTCTACTTCGGTGACCAAAAAAACAAATACGAACATTAAGATTTACGAAGATTTACATGGTCTAGGCCGGGGCGAGACCCCAGGCGATTTAAACGACACGACGTGCACGTTCCAATAGCATGGAATAAATGACACGACGAAAAAAGAAAAATAAATACGTACATACAGCAGCGTCATCTGTACAGTCGCGACAAAAGTTGGTACATCCCTGCGAAAAAAAACTCGGGAAAAAACCTTCTCAACAGTGTGTACAGCAGTATTTACACCGGTGCCGCCATGGAGTTGATCGGTTTTCGGAATTTTCCGTGCACCCACACTCTCCTCCGCGCCATCTTCTGCGCCCTATTCGCGTACTGCCTCCTCACGAACGACAGCTCTTCTTCGACCAGGCTTGCCCCTCCGTCAAACCACCCACGGTTGCTCTGGCCGGAACAAGTGCTGCTGCTGCTACTGCTGCTGCTGCTATCTCGAAGTCCCGAACCGTAAGGGGAACCGCCGCAGAAGAGCTGCCTCAGGTCTTCCAAGGAAAAAAAGTAGCTCGTCGTACCGTCCTGAAGTGGAAAAAACAGTTTCGGTGACACCGTTGGAATGTGGGAAACAGAGCATTGGGTACTGTTGGGAGAGGTTGGGAGATAAAAAGGTTTGGTGGTTTTTGGTGCTGAATTCTTCGTGTCAAAACGTTTCGAAGCACTGCTGTCAATAATGTCAGAGCTATGTGAAGCTCACACAATGCAAACCGATGGCCGGCGGTGCTGCCGTAACCATTCCAACGAAACAATTCACGCTTTCACGGACACCCACGGTGAACAATGTCCCGGCGTCCCAAAGCCATCGGCACGCAAGTGGTGGGTGGCTTGGGTAGGGGATGCTGGGTTGAAAGTCCTAAGGACTGGAAGGTCCGTTGCGGTCCGACCGTTTCAAAATATGATGGCACCATATGACTTTAGGCGTAAGAAGGAGCTTCACCTGTCGGACGTAGACGTTGTCGCCCAATCGCCGTCCTTTCGCAAACCGTAGCTGCGCTTCATCATGCCTGAAGCGGGGGGGGGGGGGGAGGGGGGGG